TTTTTTTTGGTAGGAATTCTACCAATAACCATTCATTGAATTAAAAGCATAATATAGAACACAACTTTGTGGAGACAAAATAATCCACGCTCACTGTAAGCGAATGTTAGTGCGTAGGATGAGCTACAGCTTGGAGACGCAAGGAAAACAGAGGCTATTTTTAGCACACTAAATTTTATAGTCAGTAGTTAATCCAGCCAGTGCTGTTAATGAGGTAGTTCAGCATCCTTTCCCCTAGCATAATGATATCAGAGAGTGAAAGATTAAGGCTATTCAACTAAGCCAACAGGAAAATCAAGAATCCGCCTCCAAGCTACTTCTGGATCAGCCTTGTGAAGAATTCACAAATTCTCTGGTGCTCCCTTTAGACAAATGGGATATTTTCACTAACACAAAAACCAATGCCGATTCTGACATCACAAGCAAATCACAATTCTCAATGATTCTCCATTGGTTAAGCTTTCACTAAAGGCCATGCTACTTTTTTCCGAACCCCTTTGAGGACATCACTATTTGCTCTTTTATCTTTGCGCAGAAATGCCATGCAATGCAAAGAAGGAAAAGGGAAAGTAAGAAACAGGGATAAATGTGACAGAGACAGACAGGCCAGGGAGTGGGAACCTGGACACTGCAGCTTTCTCACAACCCCTGGCAGAGTTCTTCCTGGGGGATGCTCATTATTTTACTTACAAGTACAATGAGATGCCAGAACATCAGCCAAATCCCTAGTCTACCCTGGGTATAAAATTGCATGCTACAATAAAGCACAATTTCCCCTCCCAAATAATTTGTTATTAAACATTACACATGCCATTTGTGTGGAAATGAAGACCAAATTGCAATATGCTTTCCATTTCCAATGTACAAATAGTTTTGTTCCTGAGGATGGCAAATTCTAAGTAAGTAAAATGAATAGTCATTTATTTGAATAGACTGAGCAACACGTTAACCTTAATTAAGTGGTGTTTGATTGATGGGAGAGAAGATGATACATTAGAACTGTAAGAACTTTCAAATGTGCTTTGACATGCATGTATTAAGGTTATATTAAAAAGAATCTCAGTTTAATGACGTGGTTTACAACTCCAGGGATTGGAGTGGGGAGAGATATTCTTAGATTGTGCATTTGATATTTGTCTCAATAATGAGGTTCTTTCCCCCACAGCAAGGTACATATACATGCAAAACTTTGGTACTTACATTATATGACATCTGCATAAAAGGAATAAAGTTAATACCTCAGCCAATAAGCCAGAAAATCTTATGCTACACGAATGTGTAGTTTTTACTGTGATGCTCAGGCTGTAGTATTATTTTTCAAGTTTTTGTTTTTCTTTGACACCGTGCATTTATTTCCCCCTGAATTGATCACAGGTATTTTTTCTTTAACATAAGCTATTTTAAATGTAAACTTTATGCCTAAATATGTTCAGATTCATTCTAGGTGTTGAAATAAACTCAGGCAGACATTAATCCAATTTGAATAACTACACGTCAATGAGGCTACAGTACTATCCAATCCAGAGTGTGTCGATTTCATTCACGAAGGCTTGCTATGCATAAATATAAAAATATTTATTTTCCAATGTTTTCACTTTTGAAGTACTTCCTTCAAAATGATACCCAAAAAGTGGTCAATAAAAGAGGTTTCAAAACTTTCTGTTAGACTAAGATTTGAAGGGGAGATGAGTGGAAATGTCTATTGGTAGTCACATAACTGGAGATGTTTATGGTAATGTGTTGGAAGTATAAATGAACTCCAACAAACTCAATTTCCCTTGAAACTGTTGGTGTAAAATTGCATATTATTGTTATTTTCAAAGGCTACTCTGCTTTTATTGAAATGCAATACACGTTTACTGAGCACCTACTATATTATTATATAATCCAGTTAATTTTTCCCTCATAGGCCCTCCTAGCCGTAGGTGATCTTATCTCTTCCCTCGGTAGACATGTATGTGTATGTGAGAAGCTGTTTATATGTCCACGGTTAGTTTGCTTGTGAAGCAGCTTGGAGAATTCTCATCGACTTTTTATCGGTTGGTTTTACAAAGCATCCCAGAAAGCAGACACACCAATCCCGGATCTGCCAGAAGTTGTTTCTTCTTAGAAGACACTTTGAAGATTCATTTTCTTGAGGGGTAGTATCTTGTTCATTCAGTGAAAACTTTTGGGGTAAAAAAAATGGAACAGAGACTTTCAAACAGTTCTGTAGAAACTATACTTTGGTCTCCCGACTTCATTGTCCTTCGGAGTTGAACCTGTCACCTGGTTTGCATTCTTCATGACGGAGGTTATCTTAAAACAAAAATGGCAGGAAAGCTCTCCTGTGCCTTGGGTAGGAGACAAATTTGCTTTTGTAGAATTTGTGGCTGAGGAGAGCAGACAGGGCTTGGCTGAAGAAGACATACGTCACCACTAGCCACCAGGTTAAGTTGTGGAACCCAAAGGTGACAGCCATGGAAATGTAGATCATCAGCTCTGCTAAGTAGTTGGGGGAAGAAACGTATTCAAACCAGTCTCCGAAAGGGATTCTGTGGCTGCAGTGAATGACCACGCCTGCAACGGCGAAAGAAGGCTTCATGAGCATTTGAGGTTTGGAAAGGAAAGTTTCACCACGTCACTCCCAAATCATTTACAGAAACTGTTAGAAAAACATACCACACGCCTGTGTGCAAACCACCGTCCGGTCACACTCCCACTGTCAATCGGCTGCATATTAAAAAGTCACGTACTCAGGTCGTACTGTCAACTGCTCATACGAACGAAAGGAAAGCCAGCTCTTCCGGTGGTCCTCTAAGTTAGTCAGTAAGGGCTCAGGCTCCAGAGTCGGACTGCATGAGCTCAAATCCCAGCTCCCCCATTTACTAGCTGTGCAACTTCGTGTAAGTTGCTTAACCTCTTCGTGCCTCAGTTTCCCCATCTGTATAATGGGGATTAGACTGCACTCGTTTCATGCGGGTATGGTAAAGCTCTATGGAAAGCACTTAGAACAGGGCCTGGCACAAAATAAGTACTTGATAAATATTAAATGATTCCATTTTTAATATTTCAAAACGCCTAATGGAAAACTGTCCCTGTGATAAGTCAACAGGAGCCAACTAAAAGGTCAAGTTTTTTGCTCTGGCTGCAATGATGCTACCTCCGAGGGATACTAGCTCTCACACGCTGATCAGATACATCTGTGAGGTTCCGTCTGCAAAATGTGGGCACAGCACAGAATCACAGAACGTCAGGGCTACACGGGGCCAGGGAGATCTTTCGGTGTAAGGCTCCCAGTTTACAGTTGGGAAGATCAAGGCCCAGAGACGTGTCTTGTCCAAAACGAATATTTGATACAGACTAGTCGACTAACCAGGGCAGGAAGGAAAAGAATGTAGGAACACGGACAACTAACTTCTGAGGGTTAAAATGCACATGCACAGGCTCTAAAAGACATCTCACCTGCTTTGTTTTTCCTGAGATTGCCGAGAATGACGTGGCACTTATACTGATGGGCAGAGGACCAGATGAACATCAACATGCCCAGGATATGGAACCACCGCGCCTGCATCAGTAGATTTTTCCCTATTATGTAGACTACAAAAATAAGAATTATTAGCCAACTCTGAAAAATTTCAGATGCTCAGGGAATTAAAAAATCATTTCGTTAGTAGAAACACAATTATCCACAATTATTTCTCATGACTAGGAAAGGTATCCTGATGAAATTTCCCAAGTCCAGAGGGGAGACCACTGTCCCCCTGGATGAAGCTTCAGTGGCCCCAGGCAGAGAATTCCTTAGTGACACATTCTCTTGCTCCTTCTTCCAATGCTCCAAGCACAAAGTTCAGCTCTGTCTCCTGCTGTGAGCTGCTCTTGCCTGGTAAGGCTACTCTGTGTTTCTATTGCTAAGCCCAGCTTTAAGTCTTCCTTCTTATGTTTTGCTGTCAGGAAGGACTTTCTAGAGAAATCTCTCCCTGAGCTACCATGCTAAGTCACTGCTGGGGTGACCCTGCTGCAGAACGCTGACTTGACTGGCTCTGGCCAGCAAAGAAATCAGCAGAGGGAAAGGCTAAGAGGGAGGCTTCTCCAAGAGAGGAGAAATGCAAACTGCAGGATGAACAACAAAATGCTACGTCTGGATTTGAGATAACCTAGTCGGAGAGATTTAGTTTTAGGAGTAGAAACACTCAGAATATCATCTTCCTGTTTCTTCTCCAGCTACCAGGAGGAAGGCAAGAATACAAGCCAAGGAAGGACGAAGAGCAGACCACTGGCATCAGAAAAGCACGTTATGGATGACCTATGACCAGCAGGAAGCAGCAGCCTAGACAGAGTCCTGACCGAAGAAACAAAGTTGTCTGTGGGTAACAGGCAAGAGCCTGAGGCTCTGCAGCCAAGAGGGAACCCCTAAAAAGTTGATCCGTGTTAGAGAAGCAAGGATCATAGGATTCCATACGGTACCTAGAAGCAGGAATCAGCTGGTGACAGCTAATGACTAACGGGAATCCTGTTTCAATTACTTTTAAAAACTGGCTCTCGGCCCAGCGCGGTGGCTCATGCCTGTAATCCTAGCTCTCTGGGAGGCCGAGGCGGGCGGATCGTTTGAGCTCAGGAGTTCGAGACCAGCTCTGAGCAACAGTGAGACCCCATCTCTACTAAAAATAAAAAAAGTTAGCAAGTCAAATAAAAATAGAAATAAAAAATTAGCCAGGTGTGGTGGCTTGCGCCTGTAGTCCCAGCTACTCGGGAGGCTGAGGCAGGAGGATCGCTTGAGCCCAGGAGTTTGAGGTTGCTGTGAGCTAGGCTGACGCCATGGCACTCACTCTAGCCCAGGCAACAAAAGCAAGACTCTGTCTCAAAAAAAAAAAAAACCTGGCTCTCTATGAACAATCTACTACAATCTTTCAATGTTTACAAGTATAGCCATTTAACTACAAGGTTGTATTTTTCTAGTTAAAAGTAAACAAAATATGAAAAATACAGTTTTAAATAGGATGGACTTTAAGAGCAAGTTACCATAGGATTAAAAGTTAAAACGAGTGACTAAAAATTCAAATCCCCACCAAGGCCCCTGCTCTAAGTGCAGAGAAATGACCTATGAGGGTAAAAAGGCCCCATTAGGGTAAGGCCAGAATTACAGTGCAGAAGAGGGAAGGTAGGCGGAAGGCTCGTGTTTACTGAGGGTCTAAGCTGGGTGGTATTTATTATGATTGTTCCTTTATTCCTTGGTTACTCACTGAGTGACTCCCAAGCTGGCACTGTCGCAGGGATGAAGGATAAAGCAGTGAATAACTCCGGCAAGATCCCACGCCTTACGGGGCTCACACTCTAGTTTACAGATGCTCCTCTTTTCACTTTCGCAAGAGCCCTGTGAAATCGTGACCTGTCCCTAATTACTGCCACAGGCTCTGTGGCTCGAAACGGTTAAATGAGCCACACAAAGGACCGTCTGACTCCCAAGCCCATGTTATTTCTATCAGACTTTGTGGCTGGCCAATGCCCCAGTGTGTCCTCTCTCTATGAATTTCCTAAACCAGCTCTCCCCATGTTGTCCCAAATGACCCCAGATGACCCCCTGAAGGACAAGGAGGTGAAGCAGAGAACAACTGCAGAAAGGAGTGTTTAGAAAGCTATTTCTGCAGGCCGAGCTGCCTTTCCTTGACTATTTACACTGAGGGAAGGGCGAAGCTGGGATGCAGCCGGGAGAGGAGACTGCGGAGGAGTGACGTGAGGCCAGCAGAAACTTACATGCTGGAAGCTCGTGGGTGACCGGAGGGTCTGGAAAGTCCTTTTGGGTGGAAAACCCAGTACTGCTCACCAGGAGTGACAGCTCCTACCGTGGCTCTGGCCGAACACAGGACTGCCACCGCAGAAAGGCCAGGGAGGAGTGACTGAGTTGATTAGGTTCAGAGGATCAGGTGGAGAGGTGCTAGCCGGGCGGCTGGAGCCAATAAATAATTCACGAGTGAGAAAGACCGTCAGTAAGGCCTGCGTCCGAATCACTGCCTGCTCACAGAGGCTTTTCAGGCTGTGCTAGAGCAACAGAGAGAGGGCTTTCGAGAAGGCACTGTGATACCGAAGTCAAACCTGAGGAGGCAGCTCACTCGCTGAGTGCTGGAAATATCTACGCCTCAGTCTGTTTTCAAGGACGAACAGGGCAGCTTCAGGAAACGCGAGCCTTGGATTTAGAGGAAACAGTCACGGAAGACCTGCAGCGTCTGGGCCGACAGATACCACGGCTGCGTGGTCGAGTGAAGCTCAGCGCTAAAAACTCATTTCAATCACGGCAAATGCCTTGAGTTCTTAGCAGCGTGCATTGTTTTCACAAAAGTGACTGTCATCTATGTTACACAGTGCCCCGTCCTGTAGCCCCAAACATATCACTTCATTTCTGCCTCATAAACAAGGTCATGGTTTTGCTTCTCTCTTCCCGGCCAGTGAGAGCTATTTTGATTGTGTCCTGTCCCCTCAGGCAGCCTCACTCGAAGAAGAGCTTTGTGGATAACGGGAACAATCATGAGAACTAAGGGGCCACTTACCTCAGGAGCGCCGTGACTTCCCCTCCCCTTCCACCTGCCAGCCCTTTGCTGACCCCTCCTCCTGTTCTCGGTGCTTCCAGCTTCCTGCTCAGCGCCTGGCCACCCCCCGGCTCTCCAGAGACTAACCCCACCTGGGCTCACTGACGTCACCAGAAACCCCGCACACCTGGAACTGAGCCTCCTGAAAACGAGGCACTTCTCTGTCTTTACTGAGGCCGTGACTGCGGACGTTGGTGTCTTTAAGGTGTGAGCAGTTATGGCGAACACATGCACCCTTGGGCATGCTGACTTTTTAAATCTGCCGGAAGGGTCTAAACTCCTCAAATGCAAAACGGACCAGGCCTGTCTCGGGCTTCTGAACTTCTCACCATGCCCAGCGGACCGGGGACCTTGCGCGAGGAGCCCCTCGCACACCCCGGGGGTGGTGGGGCCCACTCACCGTTCCTGCCGTCCAGCGGCACCTGGCTCAGCACGGTGAGGCCCACGAGGACGTAGTAGGCCAGTCCGAAGCAGTACTGCGCGACGTGGATCACGGCGTTGGAGAAGACGCTGACGTAGAAGCACTCGAAGAGTCTCCGAAAGCTGTGCAGCCACAGAAACACGAGCACCAGGAACGCAGACAGCGCCAGCTCACCTCCTGCAACGCAGAGGGCGACACGTTCGGCATCTGTCTTCCGGGGCTAACGCGCGGTTTTGTTTTGCCCTACTGTTAAACAGCGCGTTAAACCAGGTTAGGGCTAGGAGAGGGCCAGTCCCCTAGAAATCACCCAGTCTAACACCTTCCCTTTTTTCACAATGAAGAAATGGGCCAAATGAAGTCAAGGAACTTGGCTCAAGGTTACACAGTGAGTTAAGGACACGGCTGGGACAAACACTGACCCTTGATCTGCTTCAGCATGTGGCAGCTTTGCAGGCCACTGGCCATGGCTGTGAAGGGGTCTGCGGGTCCCTGGTTCCCCGCGCCAACAGCCGGATGCAAGCGGTTGGGAAGAGCTCCCAGTGGCCTCTGGGCAACCCCACCTGCTGGGGTCCCCGGGGGATCACAGGCACCCGCAGAGGCAGAGAGGGAGATGGGAACAGCAACAGTGTCCTGCATTTCTCTCCATATTAAAAAAAAAAAAGAAATTATACTTTTAGGGGGACAGTGAGCCCCAAGATCTACCTTCTTACCTGCCTCTCACCCCTCTCACCCTTCTGCCCCCAAAGAAGTCCAAAGAAAAGATGGTTTTAAAAAACATAAAACCTAGGTGTTTTTTTTTTACACCCCCCACCCATAAAGATATAGCCTAGTGAAGTTTCACAAACTAAACCAACCCATCCCACCCATGTATCAGCACCAAGATCAAGAAACAACGTGACCAGGACCTTAGTGTCTCCTCCAGGCATGGCACCCCGCCCCCCATGACCTTCCCAAGGACAACAACCCTATCATGACTTCTATCAACAGATAAGCTTTGCCTGTTTGTATATTTTAAATAAACCCAAGCCTAGTTTTAACTCTTTAGGAACAGGTTAAAGCAAACAGCCAAATAAAACTCCTCACAACCAACCCTCCAAATACCGAAACACCAGCCGGTCCCACGGGAAACAAACGAGGAGGTGAAGTTCTCATGAGTGAAGTGGGATCCCCTGACACAGCCGCCCCTCCCAGATAGGACGGACATGGGTTTTCTCTTCCGAGAGTCATCCTCTGCAATCAGTTAAACAGAAGAGGATTGTTCCTAGGGAGCCAGTGGCTTGGCTGCTGGAACAAAGGACAGAGATAGGACCAGAACAATTTATCTCTAATGCTGCCCCTCACCCTCTGCCTGACCTTAACCTAGGGCACTTCATGGTTTTCGCCTTCCGTTCTTTACGTTACAAACTGTTCCTACATATCCTTTATCTGACGCTGACTATGGCCATTTAAAGGCTCTTTTGTAATCATTTGGTCAAAAACAATTCACAGTGACTTTTATTAGCTAACCAGAGCCTCACAGCACGTTTATCAAAAAGTAATTTTTTATCAAAGTTATGAGACACGATTTTTGTTGGAACAGTATAAATGATAAATGTTTCAAGGCAAACCTAAGGGATCTTAAAAGCTTCCCCTTACGGGTAAAGACTTCTTTATAAATTTATCAACAGTACTAAAAATATCAGAGGGAGAACAGCCAGTCCTGTACACAGCACAGCACTTGCTGGGAAGTCAGGAGATGGAACACTGACTCTTGGCCCTGCCATGAGCCCAGGGAAGGACTTGGGGGCATCCCTTTGGCCATCCAGCGATGAACCGTGCAAAGCTCTTTTTGCCCCCAGCCTCCACTTCCCAGGCCCTGCTGAGGAGGGTGTGAGAAGAGGGGACACAAAATGCATCCCGCTGCTCTGCAGACAGGAACAACGGGAACAGAATGCAGCGTTGCAATGAGCCAGGGGAGTTGTTACCTCGGAACTGTGCAGCCCCAAGAATTCTGAGCAAACTGTGAAGCCAGTTTGGAAAAGGCGCTCCCAGGAACAGAGATTGAGTAAGGCACCAAAGCAGGAAGCCATTCCACAGCACTGAGATGATATAGAAATGAGAAAAATATCTGCAAAGGAAAAACAAGTTAGGCAATCATCAGGGTGGATCCGCTTTAGGCCATGATGCAGGAAGATTATTTTTAGTTTCTCTATCCCTCCCACCTTTCCATTCGCAAAGTGTAAAGTTTTGCTGTTTAACAGAACCTGAATCCTGCAGGTGTTCAGATTTTTAAAATTTTCTTTCAGTGATGGGACTGGTGAAATTACAGGAAAAAGAGGTCTCTCTGAGGTTAACAAGAACAAACTGACTTCGTTAAACTTAGAAGGAAGGTCGATTAGCAATCTCTCTTATCTTTGGGTAACAGTATTGAGCTCAAGTTCCAAACAGGAGGCCGCAGGCCCTTGCAAAGAGAGCCTAGATTGTGCTAAAACAAGCTAAATCTGTAAAAGATTTCAAAATCCCCAGCAATACTGCAGGAGCAGCCACACAACTGCTATTCCAGATTTGCACAATCACAGACCCTCAGGGCTGGGAGAAACCTTAAAGATCTTTCTGACTCAGCGTTTTTCTGAATCGAGTTGATCCAAATTACTTTTATTATAATACGACAAATATTATAATCCTAACACTAGGTATCCACTCCAGATGGTTACAGTTCTCAGACAACTACAGAGCCTGCTTTGCAATGAATGTATTTACAAACTAAATACCAATAAGACCACAAAACCAATGCAATTGAAATTAGCAATGTTAATTTAATGTGAAAGATGACGTTGATTTGCTGAAACCAAACCACCTACTTTGGCAGAAGAGCCTAACAGGTTCACCTATACTTTTCCTACTATTTTTCTCTATTCAGACAAATTCAAAACCTTTTTGACTCTACTGGGTGCCTGGCGGTCAAGTCATCTGGCCTTCCGTGGTCTTTAATGCTTCATGTACATATTAATATTAAGCCCCACTCCTTTTCTCGTTAGTCTGTGACAGTGAAAGAAAATATTTAGTACCAAGGGAAATCGGGCAAGCAAAACAAAATGTAGGAATAAAACAACCAAAACAATATACCTGTGAATCAAAAACACCAAGGAACAGTAAGAAGTAAGAAGCTTAGCAACTTGTACAAAACACTTGTAAGTGATTTGCTTGACTTCCGACTTGACATAATGAATCAGCACGTAGTGCGTATAACAGGGGCAGAAAAGCAAGTCCAGACAAGCCCAGGTTGCATGAATAAGAGCACAACGGAGTCATCAGGGCTGAGTCTCCAGCCAAATGCTGCCATTTACTGTGTGACCTTGGATAAGTAACTTAACCTCTCTGAGCCTTAGGTTTCTCATCTGCCACGTGAAGATAACCATAGAAACCTTAAAGGATTATGAGCATGAAATTAAATAATCTTAACTGTTCTCCCAGGCTCCATTCTACAACCCTTATTCCCACAACTAGACTATTCTCTACCTAAGTTGCCAGAGGGATTTTTTTTTTAACTTAAAGAAGAATGAAATGAATAATTGCATTGTTTTTGCTGCCTCTTTTTAAAATGTTTTTGTAAACATTTAACGGCAAGTCATATCCCTTGCTTGGTTTTAAAGACCCACCTTGAGCCTCCAAAAGCAGATCTAAAAACTCCCCAGTCATCGGTTTTGGACGCTCTCCTTTTTCTGCCTTTGGCACTTTGCTTAACTGTGGCACTATTTTCCAAGCCCTTGGGCGTAGGAACAAGGCCATCCTTATGGTAACACTGGTCGCTGAGTGAGCACTCCTTTGATTAGCAAACATCCGAGTGCTTACTATACGCCAGGACTGCGCAAGCTTTGGGGCTACAGCAGCGAACACAACAGACAACAGTTTCTGCCCTCATGGAGCTGACTCTCACACACACAAAAGGAGTAAATTTGACAGCATGTCAGCAGGCAATAACTGCTATTGAGAACACTAAAGCAGAAAAGAGGAAGAAGAAATGCTGGGGATGATAGAATTGTAATTTTAAACAAGATAGATAGGAGAGCCTCATTGAAAAGGTAATATTTGAGCAGAATTACAGGAAGTGAGGATGTAAACCATGTGGCTGTCTGGGGGAAGAGCTTTCCAGGTAGAGAGAACAGGCTGTGCAAAGGCCCTGAGGTGCAAGAGAGGACTGGCAGAGAGGACCTCAACACTGGAACAGAGCCGGACAGGGGACAAACCAGAGTCGACAAAGTCAGTGAGGTGGTGGGGACGAGACTGCACAGGGTCTTAGGCTTTTATTGTGAGTTAGAAGCTACTCTATGCTTTTGAGCTTAGGATATATGATCTGATTTAACACATATGTGCTTATGGCTGGAACTAATTCCAGGCCCCAGTTAGGGGAGTTATGGGGTTACCTAAGGACAGGAACTATTGTTTGCTGAACCATTGTTTACTTAGCCCGGCCCTGTGCTAAGTGCTCTAATGTCACCACCTATGAGACCAGCAGGGGCTATATTATGCTAACACTCCAATCCACACCGTTCACCATCTCCTGCCTGGACCACCATAGGAGCCCATTCTCCAGTCTTCTCCACACGGTGGCCAGTTACCCTTTTAAAACACAAATCAGGTTGAAAAAAATCAAAAGAATAATATTGCATGACACATAAAAATTACATGAACTTCAAAGTTCTATTGGGACTTCTAACAGGCTTCCAAAACTTCCAATAAAGTTTCATTGGAAAACAAAACAAAAACCCCCAAATCACACAATGCGATGCCTACCCCCTCTCCCCAAAGCCTTCAGTGGCTTCCATCTCCCATGTTGTCACTCCCACCCCAACCCCAGTCTTGCTCACGAGATCCAATAACCCTGCTGGATTTCCTCTAAAGCAGCGGTCCCCAATCTGTTTGGCACCAGGGACCAGTTTCATGGAAGACAATTTTTCCAAGGTGGGGCGTGGGGGGAGGTGGAGCTCAGGAGATGATGCACGTCCCTGTTTTCCTAACATTCCTAACAGGCCAGGGGGACCTCAGCTCTAAAGCACTTATCACCATCTGAAATTATCTGGCTGGTTTTACAAGATTTGTTTACATGTTGCTGTCTGCCTTCCCAGCAGATAAACTCCAAGGTGCCTAGAATGGCTCCTGTCACAGTCAATATTCTATAAACACTGATTAGATAAATCAAGGAAAGAGAAGGTATCTCAACCAAAGTTGCTCTCAGAGTAAGGAGTCAAGTTAGTCAACAACTCAACTAAACCTCAAACCTCTTTTCTGTCATTCATTCAAAGCATCCTGATCGAGGACCCGTCAGGCACTGCAGGCACTGAGCTAGGGATATGGTAACAAAGGAGACAGATGTCAATGAATGGAAAGTTTATAGTCTACAGCCGGGGCTCTAACTGACCATTTCTCTGCCACGGACCCCTCTGAGAGTCTGGTGAAGGCTACAGGCCCTTCTCAAAATGTTATACAAGCATAAAATAAAAAACACAGGAACTGGCTGGGCGCGGTGGCTCATGCGTGTAATCCTAGCACTTTGGGAGGCCGAGGCGGGCGGATTGTTTGAGCTCAGGAGTTCGAGACCAGCCTGAGCAAGAGCGAGACTCCGTCTCTACTAAAAATAGAAAGAAATTAATCAGACAACTAAAAATATATAGAAAAAATTAGCCGGGCATGGTGGCACATGCCTGTAGTCCCAGCTACTCGGGAGGCTGAGGCAGGAGGATCGCTTGAGCCCAGGAGTTTGAGGTTGCTGTGAGCTAGGCTGATGCCATGGCACTCACTCTAGCCCAGGCAACACAGCGAGACTCTGTCTCAAAAAAAAACAACAAAACAAAACAAAACACAGGAACTACAAAGGAAACCAATTATGCTGATACATAGGTAATACAACTATTGGAAAACAAATGTGATATAGTAATGTGTGCTTCTTAATTAATGTATCAAATAAGATCTAGGGTTAAATTAACTATAGTGTTCTCATAGGCATGAAAACAATTTTTGGAAGTATCTTCAATATTTTTAATGTAATGTAAAAAAACTATCACAAAGTTGCAGGTACTGCTAATTCTTGTAGTTGTTTTCGTTTGTTGATTACATTCACAATGAAAGGAAATGCTAAATCTCAGCGAGAGGTTAGTGAAAATGAAGATGTAACTTTCTTCCAATCCAAGTTTGCCCTGAATTCTGTCCACAGACCCCCTGGACTCCAGTGGGGAAAGTCCGGGCAGCTATCTCCAGAGCCCAATTAAACTGCAACGCTTTGATACAATTTGGAACCATTTTGAAACTTAAGAAGTTGCTTCCATATATTAATACACTACGCAAGTTAAAGTATTACAATGCATGTTTGAGGTCACCTATTTATTAAGACTTTCTGGTAAATCAATATTCTAGGAAACAAAAGGAAAACAAAAAAAGCAACCCTCACTTTAATTAAAAAAAAAAAAATCTACCAGACAGTGGTAATGGAAACAAACATTCCAGGAACTGATTTAAGGTTTCATTCTTGTCTCCTTTGGAAAAAAATAATTGCAAACAAAATTACCAAAGTAATGCTTTTTGTGCAAAAATGTGATTGTACAGGTGCCTAATTTCTTTCTTTCTCTGTTTTTAAAAAAAATTTTTAGAGATGATGGGGTCTTGCACTGTCACCCACGCTGAAGTGCAGTGGTACAGTCATAGCTCACTGTAACCTTGAACTCCTACGCTCGAGTGATCCTCGCACCTCAACCTCCTGAGTAGCTAGGGCTACAAGTACATACCACCACACCTGCTAAGTAAAAAAAAAAAAAAAAACGTTTTGTAGAGATGGGGGGTGCCTTGCTATGTTGCCTAGGCTGGTCTCAAACTCCTGGCCTCAAACAATCCTCCTGCCTTAGCCTCCCAAAGTGCTAGGATTACAGGCATGAGCCACCATGCCTGATCTGCAGCTATTTTTTTCTTTCTCTCTCTCTTTTTTTTTTTTTGAGACAGAGTCTTGCTCTGTTGCTCTGGCTAAAGTGCAGTGGCGTGATCATAACTCACTGCAACCTCAAACTCCTGGGCTCAAATGATCCTCCTGCCTTAGCCTTCCGACTAACTGGAACTACAGATGCGCACCACCATGCCTGGCTAATGTTTTCTATTTTTAGTAGAGACAGGGTGTCACTCTTGCTCAGGCTGGTCTTGAACTCCTGAGCTCAAGAGATCCTCCCATCTTGGCCTCCCAGAGTG